GTCTGAGTAAGATGGTTAAGGTTAGGGTTAAGGTGGTCTGAGTAAGATGGTTAAGGGTTAGGGTTAAGGTGGTCTGAGTAAGATGGTTAAGGTTAGGGTTAAGGTGGTCTGAGTAAGATGGTTAAGGTTAGGGTTAAGGTGGTCTGAGTAAGATGGTTAAGGTTAGGGTTAAGGTGGTCTGAGTAAGATGGTTAAGGTTAGGGTTAAGGTGGTCTGAGTAAGATGGTTAAGGTTAGGGTTAAGGTGGTCTGAGTAAGATGGTTAAGGTTAGGGTTAAGGTGGTCTGAGTAAGATGGTTAAGGTTAGGGTTAAGGTGGTCTGAGTAAGATGGTTAAGGTTAGGCTTAAGGTGGTCTGAGTAAGATGGTTAAGGTTAGGGTTAAGGTGGTCTGAGTAAGATGGTTAAGGTGGTCTGAGTAAGATGGTTAAGGTTAGGGTTAAGGTGGTCTGAGTAAGATGGTTAAGGTTAGGGTTAAGGTGGTCTGAGTAAGATGGTTAAGGTTAGGGTTAAGGTGGTCTGAGTAAGATGGTTAAGGTTAGGGTTAAGGTGGTCTGAGTAAGATGGTTATGGTTAGGGTTAAGGTGGTCTGAGTAAGATGGTTAAGGTTAGGGTTAAGGTGGTCTGAGTAAGATGGTTAAGGTTAGGGTTAAGGTGGTCTGAGTAAGATGGTTAAGGTTAGGGTTAAGGTGGTCTGAGTAAGATGGTTAAGGTTAGGGTTAAGGTGGTCTGAGTAAGAAGGTTAAGGTTAGGGTTAAGGTGGTCTGAGTAAGATGGTTAAGGTTAGGGTTAAGGTGGTCTGAGTAAGATGGTTAAGGTTAGGGTTAAGGTGGTCTGAGTAAGATGGTTAAGGTTGGGGTTAAGGTGGTCTGAGTAAGATGGTTAAGGTTAGGGTTAAGGTGGTCTGAGTAAGATGGTTAAGGTTAGGGTTAAGGTGGTCTGAGTAAGATGGTTAAGGTTAGGGTTAAGGTGGTCTGAGTAAGATGGTTAAGGTTAGGGTTAAGGTGGTCTGAGTAAGATGGTTAAGGTTAGGTTTAAGGTGGTCTGAGTAAGATGGTTAAGGTTAGGGTTAAGGTGGTCTGAGTAAGATGGTTAAGGTTAGGGTTAAGGTGGGTCTGAGTAAGATGGTTAAGGTTAGGGTTAAGGTGGTCTGAGTAAGATGGTTAAGGTTAGGGTTAAGATGGGTCTGAGTAAGATGGTTAAGGTTAGGGTTAAGGTGGTCTGAGTAAGATGGTTAAGGTTAGGGTTAAGGCGGTCTGAGTAGATGGTTAAGGTTAGGGTTAAGGTGGTCTGAGTAAGATGGTTAAGGTTAGGGTTAAGGTGGGTCTGAGTAAGATGGTTAAGGTTAGGGTTAAGGTGGTCTGAGTAAGATGGTTAAGGTTAGGGTTAAGGTGGTCTGAGTAAGATGGTTAAGGTTAGGGTTAAGGTGGTCTGAGTAAGATGGTTAAGGTTAGGGTTAAGGTGGGTCTGAGTAAGATGGTTAAGGTTAGGGTTAAGGTGGTCTGAGTAAGATGGTTAAGGTTAGGGTTAAGGTGGTCTGAGTAAGATGGTTAAGGTTAGGGTTAAGGTGGTCTGAGTAAGATGGTTAAGGTTAGGGTTAAGGTGGTCTGAGTAAGATGGTTAAGGTTAGGGTTAAGATGGGTCTGAGTAAGATGGTTAAGGTTAGGGTTAAGGTGGATCTGAGTAAGATGGTTAAGGTTAGGGTTAAGGTGGTCTGAGTAAGATGGTTAAGGTTAGGGTTAAGATGGGTCTGAGTAAGATGGTTAAGGTTAGGGTTAAGGTGGTCTGAGTAAGATGGTTAAGGTTAGGGTTAAGGTGGTCTGAGTAAGATGGTTAAGGTTAGGGTTAAGATGGGTCTGAGTAAGATGGTTAAGGTTAGGGTTAAGGTGGTCTGAGTAAGATGGTTAAGGTTAGGGTTAAGGTGGTCTGAGTAAGATGGTTAAGGTTAAGGTGGTCTGAGTAAGATGGTTAAGGTTAGGGTTAAGGTGGTCTGAGTAAGATGGTTAAGGTTAGGGTTAAGGTGGTCTGAGTAAGATGGTTAAGGTTAGGGTTAAGGTGGTCTGAGTAAGATGGTTAAGGTTAGGGTTAAGGTGGTCTGAGTAAGATGGTTAAGGTTAGTGTTAAGGTGGTCTGAGTAAGATGGTTAAGGTTAGGGTTAAGGTGGTCTGAGTAAGATGGTTAAGGTTAGGGTTAAGGTGGTCTGAGTAAGATAGTTAAGGTTAGGGTTAAGGTGGGTCTGAGTAAGATGGTTAAGGTTAGGGTTAAGGTGGTCTGAGTAAGATGGTTAAGGTTAGGGTTAAGGTGGGTCTGAGTAAGATGGTTAAGGTTAGGGTTAAGGTGGTCTGAGTAAGATGGTTATGGTTAGGGTTAAGGTGGTCTGAGTAAGATGGTTAAGGTTAGGGTTAAGGTGGTCTGAGTAAGATGGTTATGGTTAGGGTTAAGGTGGTCTGAGTAAGATGGTTAAGGTTAGGGTTAAGGTGGTCTGAGTAAGATGGTTAAGGTTAGGGTTAAGGTGGTCTGAGTAAGATGGTTAAGGTTAGGGTTAAGGTGGTCTGAGTAAGATGGTTAAGGTTAGGGTTAAGGTGGTCTGAGTAAGATGGTTAAGGTTAGGGTTAAGGTGGGTCTGAGTAAGATGGTTAAGGTTAGGGTTAAGGTGGTCTGAGTAAGATGGTTAAGGTTAGGGTTAAGGTGGTCTGAGTAAGATGGTTAAGGTTAGGGTTAAGGTGGTCTGAGTAAGATGGTTATGGTTAGGGTTAAGGTGGTCTGAGTAAGATGGTTAAGGTTAGGGTTAAGGTGGTCTGAGTAAGATGGTTATGGTTAGGGTTAAGGTGGTCTGAGTAAGATGGTTAAGGTTAGGGTTAAGGTGGGTCTGAGTAAGATGGTTAAGGTTAGGGTTAAGGTGGTCTGAGTAAGATGGTTAAGGTTAGGGTTAAGGTGGTCTGAGTAAGATGGTTAAGGTTAGGGTTAAGGTGGTCTGAGTAAGATGGTTAAGGTTAGGGTTAAGGTGGTCTGAGTAAGATGGTTAAGGTTAGGGTTAAGGTGGATCTGAGTAAGATGGTTAAGGTTAGTGTTAAGGTGGTCTGAGTAAGATGGTTAAGGTTAGGGTTAAGGTGGTCTGAGTAAGATGGTTAAGGTTAGGGTTAAGGTGGTCTGAGTAAGATGGTTAAGGTTAGGGTTAAGATGGGTCTGAGTAAGATGGTTAAGGTTAGGGTTAAGGTGGTCTGAGTAAGATGGTTAAGGTTAGGGTTAAGGTGGTCTGAGTAAGATGGTTAAGGTTAGGGTTAAGGTGGTCTGAGTAAGATGGTTAAGGTTAGGGTTAAGGTGGTCTGAGTAAGATGGTTAAGGTTAGGGTTAAGGTGGTCTGAGTAAGATGGTTAAGGTTAGGGTTAAGGTGGTCTGAGTAAGATGGTTAGGGTTATTCTTTGGGAATGGCTGGTTAAGTTTAGGCAAGAATACGTAGTTGGTTATATTTACTTCCGCTTCCGTTCCGATTTAGTTTATGATCTAGTGCTGACCATTATAGCCCTGGGTCTGACTTTTCTTATACTACACCTTTTCTTCCTCTGATGTTCTCTTCTTTGCAACAACAGGCCATGGATCTATTATAATAACTGGATAGAGTATTACCATGGATCTATTATAATAACTGGATAGAGTATTACCATGGATCTATTATAATAACTGGATAGAGTATTACCATGGATCTATTATAATAACTGGATAGAGTATTACCATGGATCTATTATAATAACTGGATAGAGTATTACCATGGATCTATTATAATAACTGGATAGAGTATTACCATGGATCTATTATAATAACGGGATAGGGTATTACTAGCTTGGAGCTGAAGAACCATGTTCTCGGGAGATTCTCGCGGTACTGCACTGAACCAGACTAAATTCACGTGGGCCAGAAATTTTCCCCATAGAACTCAATGTAAACTAAAACAGCGCGACCTCAGCTGACAGAGAACCTCAGATTCAGATTCAGTTTATTTGCCATTTGCAGTAAAAAAAACCACATAGGAATACATTAGCAAAAGTCTCCAGTGTGCACAGACAAATACAGACATAAAACAACATTAAAAGACAGAAATAAAACAAATAAAACAGTAAACAAATCTGTGAAATGGATCGACTAAAACAGTTTCAAAACAAGTGCAAATCATTAAAGTTCTCTGTTCACACTGATAACAGCTTGTGGATAAAAACTGTTAGCGTAACGAGATGTCCTGCATCTCAGAGAGCGATATCTTCTGCCAGAGGGAAGAAGCTGGAACATGGCTTTCCCAGGGTGGCCAGAAGAGTCATTGACAATCCTAAAAGCTTTGTTTAAAAGTGTGGATTTATAAAGAACCTCCAGAACAGGAAGCTCACAGCCCACGGTCCTCTTTGCAGAGCGGAGCACCTTGTTTAAAGCTCTCTTTTCTTTATCTGTGATGTTTCCAAACCACACAGACACAGAACCAACAAGTAAACTCTCAATGGTGCAGCCATAAAAGTTAAGCAGAATCTTAGAGTTCAGTGGCAAATTCTCTAAGTTTACGCAGAGAAAGTAGAGACGCTCGACCGCACACAATCCATCCGACAACGCACACATCCACTCAATCGACACCGACATCCACTCCGACAACAACACATCACTCGACAACACACACATCCACTCCGACACCGCACACATCCCTCCGCAACACACACATCCACTCAGGAACACGCACACACATCACTCCGACAACACTACCCAACATCCACTCCGCCACCGCACCACATCCACTCCGACAACACACACTTCCACTCCACAACAAGCACAATCCCTCCGACAAACACACACATCACTCCGACACGGCAACATCCCCTCGACACAAACATCCACTCCGACACCCACACACATCCATCGACAAACATCATCTCTCTTTTCCTCTCCTCGTTGTTGTTGTTGAGAGAGATGTGTTTGTCGGAGTGGATGTGTGCGGTGTCGGAGTGGATGTGTGTGTTGTGGGGATGGGTGCGGTGTCGGAGGTGGATGTGTGTGTTGTCGGAGGGGATGTGTGTGTTGTCGGAGTGGAATGTGTGTTGTTGTCGGAGTGGATGTGTGCGTGTCGGAGTGGATGTGTGTGTAGTCGGAGTGGATGGTGTGCGGTCGTCGAGTGGATGTGTGTGTTGTCGGAGGGGATGGTGTGCGGTGTCGAGTGGATGTGTGTGTGTTCGGAGTGGATGTGTGTGTTTTCGGAGTGGATGTTGAGCGGTGTCGAGTGGAATGTGTGCGTTGTCGGAGTGGATGTGTGCGTGTCCCAGAGTGGAATGTGTGCGGTGTCGGAGTGGAAGTGTGCGGTGTCGGAGTGGTTGTGAGTGTTTGTGTGAGGGGATGTGTGCGTGTGGAGTGGATGTGTGTGTTGTCGGAGTGGATGTGTTGTGTTGTCGGAGGGGATGGGGGCATCTGCCTCCGTGTGCCGGAATAGTGGGAGTGCTGCACAATGAGCAGATGTCAGGGAGAATTAAAATGGCTGCTGGACGTTTGGCAGACACCTGTTCAATCCCGACTGTTGGGACATCAGACAGACTCTGCACCACTTGCTACATTTGCAGACAGTCACAATCTTCAGAGCAAGACGGGAATTTTGCAAATCAGTGAGGTAGGTGGAATATAAACAGTATTCGGGGCTGTGTCTGTGGAAGTGCAGGACCCAGCTCGACCACATCTGTGCGAGTGACTTTACGGTCTCTGCTACTATGGATATTAACGTTAACAAAAAATAAATATGAAATAATGTGTTCATAAAAATGGTTGTACCTTGGGATCGTTTGTGTAACCCCCAATGTTCTGCCTTTCTTTGGTGGGTATAATAACTCAAGCTTTTGTCATGGTGTGGATTTTATTATTGCACTTTTTTTTTATTTTGAAAATTAGTTCTCTGTGGTTTGGTTTTACTTCCTGTCCTGATTCCTTTGTTCGATAGTCTGCCAGCCCTGCTGTGTTTGCACAGTACCTGTTTCTATATTGTACCTGTGTCCATCTGTACCGGGTGTTGTCTGTACCTTGTCTCTATGTACCGGGGTTGTCTGTTAACGTGTATTTGTACCTGTGTCTATAGGTACTATGTCTATGCCTAATATGTCCGTGTCGTCTGTACCTTTGTCTATATGTACCGGTGTCCGTTATGAACCGTGTCTGTCTGTACTGTGTATTTGTTTTTATACTGTGTCTTATGTACTATGTCTATGCCTCATATGTTACCGGTGTCTGTCTGTACCTTTGTCTATATAGTACCGTGATCTATATGTACCGGTGTCTATAGTACGTTGTCTGTCTGTACCTGTGTTATATATACTATGTGTATGCCTCATATGTACCGGTGTCTGTCGTTCCTTTGTCTATATGTCGGTGTCCGTATGAACAGTGTCTGTCAGTACTGTGTTTTGTACCTGTGTATATGTACCTGTGACCATATGTCTCTGTGTCTATATGTACCTGTATATAGTACTGTGTCCCAAATGTACCTGTGTCTCTCTCTTTGTTAGCTTTGTTTCATGGTTTTTGTATGGGTTCGTTTTTGGATTTTTGAATATTTGTGTTACTTTTGGACTTTGTTTTTTCCTCATTTATTTTGTTTAATTCCTAGCATTTTGATTTCTCCTTCATTACTTCTGGACTGTGTTAAAAACACTAGTGGTGCACACTGGGGTTGTCGTGCACAGTTTTTCTAATGTGGTTTTTCCTGCAAAGGCAAATAAATGAATTGAACATGACATCAGTAGTAAGTAGTTAATACAGAAGCCCAGACAGTCCATCCTGAGTCTGTGGGTTCGTCAGTGGTTGTCAGTGGTTGGGATCAGACTCATGTTCTTGCTGTCAGGGACTGGACCATTACCGCCGCCACAGCTGCCCTTTCATCTGTGTGCGCCGCTGCAGTCCATGAATCAATGCACTTCTGTCAGCAGTGGATCACACTCTGTTCTAAATGCTCTGCCATTTCAAAGTCAGATATGAGCGATCCAATTCTTTATTCGGTTGTTTTGGTATCTACTCCACGCCACGGTGAGCGCTCACGCACAGTGAGCGCTCCACGCACTGTTGATGCGCTCGACGCACTGTGAGCGCTCCACGCCACGGTGGCGCTCCACGCAGGTGCATGGATTGTTTTTAATTTGTGGGTTCATTGGAAAATTGATGCCGAGAAAATGTGTTGATCTGATTGTTTTTTGTCTGTAAATTGAAAAAACATTCATACAAAATCCATAGACATTTCTTCCCCGTAATCATTTCTGGGTGGGGGTGGCAGCTCCAGCACCAGCCTCACTCTCTCTGGTGGTGGTGGGAGGAGTCGATGGACAGACTGGTTGCTGTGAATGATGTGGAGAGACTTTGAGATTCACAAAAAAGGCTGTATAAAAATGAATCATTTATTATTATTAATTATGCTCATAATTATCCATGATTGATCCATTGTTGGGCTCTGACCATCACTCCGGCGGCAGCTGCTCGTGCTCTTCCGTCTCACTTGCACGATGATCTGTTGCCGTTAGTGCAGGCTCCAGCCTCATCACATCTGCAATAAATCCATTATGAATTAGTCCACTTTCCTATCTGTATAATTTATAGCTTCAATCCACAGGGACCAGAGCAGATTAAGTGTCAGTTTCAAACATGTTTGATTGCTGTAAGAGTGAAAAGTCTTTATTAGAGAGAACTCTCACTCGGTGTCACTCTCAGAAGTGTTGGATTTATCATTATGTTCAACTGCCGGCCGTTGTAATATGTCAACAGTTACATCATTGGATTACATTTGGAGCTGCAAGTTTTTTGCATTTGGTTCTGTAATATCTAAATTAATAAGGTAATGGTATGTCAAAGTTGTTTTTTAACAGACCGGGTTAGAGCTTTGTCTGTCTGACCAAGTTTGATGCACTAAAGTTTGTTGGGAAATAAGCTGGAAAAGCCACTTTTGGAGATTTAAATTCAATTCAAAATTAAGTGAGAATAGCAGAGTCTCACGCCACCGTCCTCTGATCCTCTGCAGGGGGTGGGTCCACAGGAACATGGCGGCTCTGTTCAACGTCCCACAGCCTTAATCTTATTTCTCGCGGGGGGCAGGAACGTGGGTTTAAGGTCTTAGCCCAAGGACACAACGACAGCAGAAATGAGGGGGAGCAATGGGAGTAGGTCTCGTGGGGGTATCGACCCACACCTTCAGGCCCAAAGGCCATGTAACTTTGCCACCGTCGCCCTACAGTATGTTGAACATTTTGTTTTTTATTAAAATAAGGAGAATACTGGACTGACGTTATCAAACCCTAAACCAGAGAATAACTGAAACACTTATTACATTAATATCTGTTAAAACTTAATGGAATTGCACATTTACTGCCTTCATTGGGAAAATAGGGACAAAAAAACATGTCTGGCATCGGCCGTCAGATAAAAATGGATTTAAAGATTTAATTCTGTCAAAATGGGATTGGATGCAAAAATTATCCCAATATTTTGAGAGACATTTCTAAATCATACAGATCAGAGTGTGAACAATAGGTCACAAATTAAGAGTGAGGGGGGGGGGGGGAATTAATTAGCTCTTTTCACACCTTTCCATGATACCTTGATCCTAGTTCTCGGGAAGGTACTTCAAAAGGACGGCGAGAGGGGGAGGGCCTAACCGGCTTCTCCAAACTGATGGGAGAATATTCTGAGGAGAATATTTCACCAAATATCACTGTTTCTCTGGGTCTCAGGGAATGATCGTGCTAGGGGGGATTTCCTTCAGTTCCACCCAATGTTGTATTCTGTCTGTCTCTTTTTTGTTCTTAGATTCACTCTGTCATCTAAGTTACCATACCTGCCCTTTGCTATAAGACCCTCTGCAGTGCCACTGAGGCAGAGGCTTTGTTTCCACAGTCAGGGCAATCTGGAGGTAAAAACAACTGTGACAGCCATGCAGGGGTCAAGGTCACCAGCTGCAACAGGACCAAATGTGGGCAATATGTCTGGCAGTAATCCAGGGGTTATAGCAAAAAAAAACATTTGACTGAACATTTTTGCATTGGAACATTTATCACATGTAAATCACAGTAATATGCGCAGAACGTTATATTTTTTAATTACTAATATAATTATTTGTATATTGCAGCCATTTCCCAAATCAGTAACATCGAGGTCCCCTAAAAAATCTGAGGGTTGCGTGGCCCCCCAAAGAATAACCAAAGAAGACAACATAAGAATAGGCTCTTCTGGTTATTTTATTTTTGGGGAAATGCCTCCGCTACAAACTTGAATACAAACAATGATTACAGTGATTATTCAAGGCACATAATGAACACCAAATATTTTAATATTAAAACAAAAACATAAATTTAAACATTAAATAATTATATTCTTATTTTAATTTTTTGTATGACCTCCCGCGGCCCCTGCAGTACCCACTTTGGGAGACACTGGTATATTGAATACAGCTCAAAATGAATTTTCAAAGATATACAGTGTATTTTGATATATAAGTGGATCAAGCAACGAGTCAACTTTTTGACAGCCCAAATATAGTGAGAGGGCTTTACTTGAGGCGATATTGGATCGTCACTCTTTGGCCCTTGTCCTCGTCAAATATCGCAAGAAGTACGATAAAATTCTGTCACATTTGTTTGTGGACACGTCAATATTTCATAAAAGAAAGGTATCCCTATCAAGTTTGAGTGACAGTGCACATTCGATCAACCTGCAAATGATGAAATAAATCTACCAGCGATTGTGGATATTCTGAATTTATTTTCTGCGATAAAAGCCCCAGGGACCCGGTCCGCCAGAGCAAGTAGTGTCAGTTGTTGTGATGCACCAGGTAAAGATGAAGTGTGGGAAAAGTGCACAAACAGCTCCTTGTGCGCCGTTTTGAGCTGGTGGCGAATCAAAATTTTGTCTCATTACTCCCATACTGCAATTTTTATGGCAAGTAGCACCAAGCACGGAGCCACTTTCATCTTTTCGCACCATGAATCATTGATTGGCTCTTTGACATCACGTGAGTTTTGCAGAAGATCGCAAAAACAAGACAATATCAAATAGCTCCCAAGACATGTTTGTCCCCCATTTCCCAGTCGCAGCAAAGTCCGTTTTGAACATTCCGGTAAGGTAACTAGATTGGTTTGCGTAACGTTATTACCGTTCCATCATATTACGCGCCAGCTTACCAGTCGCGGATCTGCTGTGTTATTGCTCCGGTTCGAGATTCAATTTTCTCTCTTCTCTTTTCAAAGCTTTTTCGTGCAGTTTCCAGAAAACGTTCACACCGTGTTACCAATGCTAACTTCATCTGCGTCTTATTTGCGCGTGAGCACAGCTACGGTCCCATTGCCTTGATTATTAG